CCCCCCAGGGGCCCCCTGCTGAGCCCTTGGGGCCCCCCTCCTCTTCATGGGCAGCAGCGCCGCCGGCGGGGGGCCCCCGGGGGCCCCTGGGGGCCCCAGGGGGGCCCCTCATAAGGGGCCCCTAAGCAGGAATAGAAGGTATGGGGGGCCCCCCCGGCAGCCGTTCTGTCTCGGGCTGCTGCTGCTGCTGCTGCTGCTGCTGCTGGGGGCCCCCCAAGAGGATATCCTTCAGGGGCCCCTGCTGCTGAGCTGCAGCGCGGCGTCTCTTTTGGGGAGAAAGTTAGGTATACACAGCAGCAGCAACAGCAGCAGCAGCAGCAGCAGCAGGAGCAGCAGCAGCAGCAAACGTAGCAGCAGCAGCAGCAAGGTATTTTGTTTCTCTCATAGGGAGCTCCCCTCTCCTTTGTTTACAAGCAGGGCGGCTCACTGCCCCTCGCTAGGCCCCCAGAGGCCCCATCTTGCTGCTGCTGCTGCTGCTGCTGCTGCTGCTGCTGGTGCAGCAGCAGCAGCAGCAGGAAGAGGAGGAGCGAAGGAGTTGTTTGCTGCTGCTGAGGAGACAGGAGACACTGCAGCAAGGGGCTGTCTCTGCGGTGTCTCCGTCTCCCTCAGCCCCCTCATCAGAAGCCCCGAAACCTCACCGTACACCCCAAGTATGCACCACACACACACACACACCGCATGCATGCATGCATGCATGCATGCATGCATGCATGCATGCATGCAGCGCATGCATGTGCTGCGTGCATGCATGCATGCGCTGCGTGCATGCATGCATGTGCTGCCTGTATGCATGCATGTGCTGCGTGCATGCATGCATGCATACGCCACCTGAATGCATGCGTGCATGCATGCGTGCATGCATGCACGCATGCATGTATGTGCTGTCTGCATGCTTGCGTGCATGCATGTGTTTCTTGAGGAGATCTTTTGTGTGAGAGAAGAGACACAGTGTGCAGACATTGCGCGTCGTTTGCTGCTGCTGCTGTTTTTGTTGCTGCTGATGTTGCTGCTGCTGCTGCTGTTTTTGTTGCTGCTGCTGTTGCTGCTGCTGCTGCTGCTGCTGCTGCATGCAGGCCTGCTGAGGGGCCCCACAGTTTATGAGGCGACGCT